AGCCATGTAATTGTTGTTGTTCTTTCGTGTGAAGAGAAAAGGCTGTATTAAATGATGTATTTTGGCGCTCGTTGATAAATATGTATCGCAATATTTATTTAAATTGAGAAAATATTTTTTTAATAAAAAATGAATTTTTGTTGAGATATCTAAACTTTTGTATAGATTTAAGAAAAAAAATCATTTCTACCAATAATCTATACATTATTCCCGTGTGTGTAGCACACAAATGCTTACGGTGCGATTTTTATTTCAATGTTTGATATTCCAATTTTGCTTAAAGGCATGATTAGTTTTGGAAAGAAATAAAATATATGTTGCTGTGTTATTTACTAGAATTTTACACACTTATATTTCTAGTATTAGTTTTTAGCATTTTTCAATTTTTATATATAATTAATCCAAAAGAATTAATAGTTAGTCCCAATGGATTAAATTATTATTTTATAATTATAAACATACTTTTACTTTAAAATTCATGCGCATTCTCTAGCGAGCGCCAAAAATATCTTCTTATACTATTCTCTCACTTCATTCGAAAGAATAACAACAATTGTATGACAACACTCAAACGGCAACTTTATGAAAGTCAACTACTACACACGCATCACTTCTACTGGCGAGTCAGTCGTTGAACGTCGTTCGTATACATGTTTCCACTGACTCGCCAGTAAAAGTGATGCGTGTGTAGTAGTTGACTCTCATATAGTTGACGTTTGAGTGTAATGAAAAAATTGTTGGTATCCTTTCGTATGAAGTTGAGAGAATAGTATAAGATGATGTTTTTGAGGCTGGCTAGAGAATGTGCATGAATTTTAAAATAAAAATATGTTTATAATTAAAAAATAATAATTTAATCCATTGGGACTAACTATTAATCCTTTTGGATTAATTATATTTAAAAATCCCAAAGTGCTAAAGATTAATACTAGCGATATAAGTGTGTACATTGTAACAAAATGAGAAACGAAAAAAAGTAATATATAGAAGACCACATAGATTAAGACAAAAATTGAAGTTTGAAAATCTGTCCAATTGTCTCCAAAATATGGTCCTTTGCAAAAAGAGTCACATTTCAGTTTTACGTCCATAGATGGCGCTAGATGATGCTAATGTTCCCTCAAAAGATACGCTGATTCTAGAGATCAATATCTTTCCAATGACACTTTAAACTTTGTTTTCAAGAATAATTTATTTCTTGAATACATTTCGATTCGGTGAATCTTCAAGCTAAAACCACAATTTCCGTGATTACGTGAATCCAAGATAGCGGAATACACACGTAAACAAAGTCGAAGTAATTCCTCACAAAAGAGAATAAAAAATCCATGCATCATGTGGCCTACTAGTGGATTTTCGGCATAGTATTTGAAAATTATTGCTGCGTGCACCTGTGTACATCGCACATGTTACTAATACGAATATGATACATGTTATTTTGGATGAACATTGCGTATGTATTTATGATAATAGTAAAATGAAGAATATTTCAATATCGGCAATATATATTTTTTATCAAATCACTATTCGGAGATTACGAATACATGTGTCTAACCCCTGGTGTATGTGTGCGCAATTTTGCGTACTTGATTCTGATCTTTTTCAAACTTTCTAGGATTAAAGTACATAAAAAGCTAAAACTTTTTTGTTCCGGCACTTTTCGATTTGGCCGCCATGCTATGGTAAAAAAAAGTCATTTTTTATGTTTTTCCCAACGGTCATCGTGGCGCCTACGCTTAACATACCCAGGACTTATGCATATCGTTCGAGAGGTCTTAATTGAAGCAATCGAATGGTACCAATTGTAGACTAAAACTTTAACTTTAGGTGACCGTTCATCCACTCACATAACGGATATTCTCTTGAAATTTTCGCCAATTTTAGGCTCAAATTTAAGGCAATATATGTCACATAGCATATATCTGGGAAAATTCTTGTTTTCAAGATATAACCTTTGATACTGCAAATATGACCAAGAAAAGCAACTTTTTCATATGGTTACTGACACCCGTACACTTGAATTACACAGCTGCATATCATTGGAAAGCTATCGAATGGTGCCACTTGATTTTTTTGCCATTTTTTCCACAAATATAAAAATATGGGACATCGATGGGAACTAGTATCGTATATTCCCCTTACAAATTAATTTTATCGATTCAACGAATACGACATCTGTTAAAAAAGATACCGATTTTTGTTACTACTGTTGCTTTGACACAATACAAAAGAACACACAGACTCCGATACTGTGTATGCGTATGTATTGTAAATTTTGCACAAGCAGCTTCGATTGACGACTGAGTGCAGAATTTGTAATGCATACGCATACACAGAATCGGAGTCAGTGTGTTCCTTTGTACGTTTACACGAGCTGTATTAAAAAAACACAAGTAACAGAAATCGGCGAGTTTTTTAGTAGATGTCGTATTGGTGGAATCGATAAAGAAAAATCTACGATATAAGCGCTCATTGAAGAAACTCGAAATTAATTGATCAATTTGATCATACAAAAGGAAAGAATTTGAGTAAAACATTAGATCAAATGATCATGAACAATATTTCAGTTCCATGATGTAAACCGAACTCTAACAAGCTTAAAAATTGGTCAAAAACAAAATACGGCCATATTATCATTGGTCCATGATTCTATTTGAACATTGAGTTTTTTTGGAAATCAATAAGTCATTTGTTCGCTGTTATACTCACGGGATAGTTCAATTTCCATATTAACTCTCGTGTTTGATCGTCTGCTAAACACATTTCTAACATTCCGTAATAGTCGTGCAGTTTCAGTTAATCTGGAAAAAGGTATGTGGTTTTCGGTATGTTCGGTTTAATGTACGCATTCGATTAAAAAATTCATATTTCTATTTTTGTTATTATAAAAAACTTCTAACCACGAAGAACGTAATTTTTCCAAGGAAAACTTAAATGAAAGAGTTCAATTATGAGTAAAGGACGAAACTACTACCAACATTTGTGTGCAAATAATTGTTTGCCTAACGAATCTTATATAAACCAAAATTCTCATAAACACTTTTTTTGCCACCCCGGAACAAAATTCAAAAATCGAACCAAATTATCAATAAATAAAAATACACATACAAACTCTATATTTTCCGGAGGGCGATTATCTACATACAAAAGCAAAAAACATGCAATAATAGTGACATCCTATGGAATCAATATAAACTAAGTGGGGAATATCTGTTTGAAACCATAACGATAACGAACATAATGTTATGTAACATTACCAAATGATCCCCTTGCTATGTATCGCTATGTATGCTATCAGAACATTCCTCTCCATTCCGCATTTAGTTTATATTGTTTCCGTAAAACTCGAAAATTTTCCTCCGGTATATTCACACACGTAGAATTACCATTTTTAATACTTAAGTCAACATACACCAATATGTATAAACAGTTTATCCTATAAACCAGTTCAAAAACAAAAAATTCTCTAGCGAATCAGACAAATTTTCGTTTTTTTTTTTTGAAGTCACTTTTTGAGGCGAAAATCCCTAGCAAATCGAAAGAATTTTCTCCGCGAAAAACCCTAGCAAATCGGAAAAAAATCTCTCGGAACCAAAAACCTTAGCAAATTGAAAGAATTCTCCTCAATTTTCTACATTCTCATCTAAAAAAAAAAAAAAGGTCTTCACTTTTTTCGTGAAAAACCCTAGCAAATTCGAATAATTTTCACGAAAAAGTTTGTCTCATCCAAATCACAGGGATCACTACCGGGCCCCCCCCCCCCCTTCGCACATTACTACTATAAACTATAATAAAGATGGTGTTAAGACTAAAGCTGAAAATACAGAAACATACTTTAAATAGAAATTCTTGAAAAATGCATAAATAATTAATTAAATTTGTAGACACCGAGGAGGTTCTCGGCTATTTGCCCGACGAAATTAAACAAGAAGTGAAAAGAGTCGAAGTCTGAATGGAAGCATAATTGACAATGCCGTCAGCATTGGAACATTTGAAAGTACATCGAGGTACAGTTTTTTTTACAATTTTTTATCGCATATGAATTTCATTTTTTATGTGTGACATGCATATTTTTGTATATTTTCAGTCTTGAACCACCAAAGAAAAAGCAGCGTGCTCAAAAAATGTTTTTGTATAAAAACACATTCGAAAGTGAAAAAGAAGCCTTGGAAGTAACTTGTATGGTGCGTATTCATACAGATGGCACATACAAATTAATTTGGCAAGGATATCCAGTATTGCAGATTGGTGCCGACTATAAATTTATTTTTGCTGCCGTTAAGAAGGGTGTCAAATCAGTCTTCAGCATAGAATGCAGTCCAAAAATACTAATTCGCGACGGTGCATTAAGTATTCAAAATGGTTTCGAAGAGGTGTTCGGCAATTGAGCAAAAATAAAAAAAAATCTACAAAGCATCAATGCTCTTTGTTGATAAATGGAAAAAAGTAAGCCCCCATTTAATGCAGATTTTGAAACTGAATGGTTACAAAAAAATCGTTTCTGGTATGAAGGTGTCATGCTAGGGGGGAGACACCCACGAATCCATTCACCTTTTGTGTCGGATTTGTACGATTAGTATGATTACAAAATTTTACAAAGATTCACATTCGATTCAATTTTTGATTTAAATTGCTATAATTCCAATGATTTGCACAGATTCACAGATTCGTAAACATCCACAGATTCATTAAATATTCAAATTTTTGTGTTTTTTCTTTTGACGTACAAACGTATGTTGATTTTATAGAAAATAAATATGCTAGCAAATATAAATTAAAATAAAATTCAATTATTTTTGTTCATGCAATGATTTCATTTTTACCGACTTTTAACAATGGAATAAAATTTAACTCAACAATCAACACATTTTATATTATTGACAAAGTGACTTTGTCAAAGTCCCTATGATTCATGAGATTCTTCGGATCCTTAGGATTTGTGAGTTTTGTGTTTTTTATTATAATTCTAATGGAATCGTTGGAATCAATGAAATTATACATTGAGTATTTTTCATTTTGAATTGGTGTCTACCCCCTAGGTGTCATGCATCACACACCAAGTACTAATAATGCTTTGGAATCTGCAAATAATCTTATCTAAGAAGAGCATACATTGCGAGAACGTTTCGATTTGGGCCAATTTCGAACCGTTTTATTCAAGATGTTGAAAATATTATTACACATACAGTAGTATTTGAGTACGGTAACACGGTATTAGAGCAATTACCCCTCAAAAGGAGTAGCTAACTATATTTTTGGTATTAATTTCGTTCGCGTGAACGATGCATTCGAATTTCTTCATAGTGAAAGAAGAGAAATATGTGTACTCATATACGATTCGTTGTTATGTATGTCACCGCATACTACATTCAACGTTCACCTGTGTTTCGAAACTAACTCGGATAAAGTTAAGACCAAAAATAGAATTAATTCTTCGTGTTGGGGAGCAGTGTTAGGTAAAGATATTAGATAAGATGAGATACCAGATAAGATGACAGATAAGATAATATCTTATACGTAGGCTGCTCCATATATTTCTAGAAAAGCATATACAACGCAATCGTTTTTTATCAAAAATGGCTTTATTGTTTTTCAAAGTATTCGCCATGATGGTCGATACACTTTTGCATACGCTCGAACCACTTGCCGTAGCATTCATGCCACTCCGAAACCGATATCTCCAAAACGTGTGTTTTGAACGCATCAACTGCTTCTTCTGGCGTCGAAAATCGTTGACCACGCAGTTTTTCTTTACGCTCGGAAACAAAAAGAAATCGTTGGGTGCATAATCAGGACTGTACGGTGGATGACCCATTAATTCGATCTTTTGAGCGGTCAAATATTCAGTTGTGTGATGAGATGTGTGAGAGCTCGCATTATTATGATGAAGAATTATTCTGCGACGGTGGTTATTTTTTCTCAATTCACCAAACACTTCTGGCAAACAAATGGTGGTGTACCAGTCAGAATTGACTGTTCTACGATCCTCTAGTGGAACTGTTGCCACATGTCCACTAATTGCGGCGACCTAAAAAAACAGGCGACCATTTGCTTCGCAACACTTCGAGCGCGAACAACTTTCGTTGGATTATCTTCACTTTGGAAGACCCATACTGTCGACTGCTGTTCAGTTTCGGGCTCATACGCATATATCCACGATTCGTCGCCTGTGACGATGTTTTGGACGGAATATGATGCACCGCGGTTATATTTCTTGAGCATTTCTTTGCACCAATTCCCACGAGCTAATTTTTGGTCATCGGTCAATTTATGTGGAATCCAACGAGAGCAAATCTTTTTTACGGCCAAATGTTCATGCAAAATCGTGTGTATGCTTCTCATACTAATGCCCAAGGATGCCTCAATCTCACGGTATGTGACATGATGATCTTGCTTTATCATGTTTCTGACAGCATCGATAGTTTCTGGAACAACAACCGATTTTGGACGACCTTCACGGAATTCGTCGATGAGCGAATGACGACCACGATTGAATTCAGTAAACCAGTGACATACAGTGGCCTTGCATGGAGCTTCATCGCCAAAGACCAAATGAAGTTGATCAAAACACTGTTGTTGAGATACACCCAATCCAAAGTCGTAGTAAATTATCGCACGAAAATTTTCACGAGTAAAATTCATTTTTTTGTTGAGACGCAATTTAGATGTCACTGTAAACAATACAAATAGCGCGCGTATGACAGAACGTTCTGAGATCATTTATGCTACCAAATGTTAAACTTAACGAATATGACAATGGTTTGTATCGGACAACACTAAATATTGCCAATTCTAGAAATATATGGAGCAGCCCTCGTATCTTATCTTACCCTTGAAGAATATATCTCATCTTATCTAGATAACTAAGTTTACTTTCGATATCTTTGGTGGTACCTTTAGATCTTTTTAAGATATTTTGAGATTTTTGCGAAAAAAATTAATTTTTTTTGGAAAATATATCTTATTTGTTTATAAAATTATTTATATGAAAAGATAATGAAATTATCTAGATACTTTTGAATATCTAGATACTTAGAGTTATCTAGATACTTTTGAGTATCTAAAGTCCAACATTTTTGTGATTTTTTCTGCGTAAAAATATCTTTGAAAGTATCTAACCAGTAAAGTACCCAAAGTGTTACAAATTGTTAGTACAGATCGATGTAAAGTGCAGAGAAAATAGGTTTGTGAAAATAAAGGGTGCCCCTTTTGGGTCTAGGGGGCAGGAGAGCACCCCACCATATCAAAATTTGGTCGGATCAAAAAATAATGTACTACAAAGTTGTTCAGAATGACGAGAGAAATTTTTTAGGACCCCTGCCTTCAAGTCTCCCCCCCCAGGGGGGTCGGTGGCAATAACTCCTTCACCCATGATTTTTTTCAACCGAAACCTCGAAATTCGGAATCAGCATGCCAAAATACCCTAGAATGCCCATTTTCCCAGTCCCCTAACAATTCAGAGCCCCCCATTAGGGTAAAATGATAAAAAGTCGATTTTGCACTTTTTGGGTGAGGAATTTCGCACTCAAATGTATGGTCAACTATAACTAATTTTATCCGCACATTTCATTTAGGCTGTTGGGCACCCCCTCCAATCACCCCCAAGGGAGGTCCTCCTACAAAATTCACGAAAATTTCGAAAAATACCCCGAAATTGGGTCAATACCCCATCTAACCCAAAAATTAATTACATATTCGGATTCCTCGTAAAAAATTACCTATAGGCCCCATACATTGTCAATCTCTCTTGACCTACAATTTACTCCATCTAACTTGAACCTTTAATTCGGGTCGAAAAGTG